TAGAGATGCCTTAAATGATTTAAGGGACAGTCCGAGACAACGATTATCGAGAAGTCCCACTTCAGGTATGTAGCTCTAATAGCTTGGGTGTTGAGATCGCCTTAGCAAAGGTAAAGAGAGCACATCATACTTGGAAGAAAAAGGGAGAACTTTCATTACCATTTCAAAAAAAAAAGAAAATAAAAGAAGAAAGAAAGAGAAAAATAACAAGGCAATAACCGAGCTAAGTAGCTCGGGAAAGTTTGACAATTATAGGGCACAACCGCCCAACCAAAGATCTTTTGAAAGATAGGGTTTATGACACCCGGGAGCCACCAGAAGTCCAAGAAAAACACCGCCTCAGGGATCCGCCTCCTCATCCTCATCCTCATCCTCCAGAGAGTCAGGCTCCTCTTCCTCCGCTTGGTCCACCGTCTCGGGAGACAGGCCCTTCATAGTGATGCCGTCGAGGTTGAGCCCGGAGAACTTCTTCCGAACCAACCACCGGCAGAGCTTAAACCCAAAATGGTACAAACTCAAGCCATATTCCACCTAGAGGTCGTGATATTCCTAGGAGTCCTTGAAATCCCAGACCGCCTTCTCTCGTTCGGCCTCCACCATCTGGTCAAAATTTTGAGTCCGATCTAGAAGAGTGGACTCCAAGTCCTGCACCTACTACCGAAGGAGCTCCCTCTCCGCCGCCACCCTCGACGACTCCTCCCCGTAACGCGAGCTCTCTTCAGAAAGCTGGGCAATTTGAGCCTCCTGGTCGTGGATGAGCAACTCCTGAGATTCACTCCCCTTGCGAGTGTGATGGAGCTCGCCCCGAATCCGGTCGAGCTCGCCCTGGAGCTTCTGATTGGTAGCCCGCTGGTCGATGGCATCGACGCAGTGGATGCGTGTCTGGAGAGCCATAGCATGGATGGCAGTATTCACCTGACAAAAAAAAGAGGATCAGAGAATAGAAAAAGGAAGCAAAATGAGAAAAGAAAGGAAAGAATCACTTACCACCATGCAGTGAGAGGAGGCAAACGCGGCGAGGTGCTCGGGCTCCATATTCCCCCAATGGGCAACCTCGCCGTTGCAAATCGCCTTCCAGCTCCTCCGTCGAGCCACGGTGTAGTCGTTCACCCCTTCCCAGTTCCCCACTGGGAACGGAGGGTAAGGGGATGGCTGGAGAAGGTTATGGGGAGTCACCCCCTGCTGCGGAAGCTCGCCCCCTTCGAGACCAGCCCCACTAGCTCCCTTGAATGGAGGTGGCGGGATTTCAGGCGGCGGGATCTCAGGCGGAGGGGAGGAAAAAGTCGGCTCGGCAGATCCAAACTCGGTGCCCCCCGAGGTGGGAGTCCGGTCGGGGCGCGACCTCTTCACCTTGCGTCCCTGGTTGCTTGAAAGAAGGCGGCGCGAGTCAATACCAGACATGATGGCTGCCAAGAAGAAATCACAGTATTAGTTTGGTAAGAACGAGATATATATGCATATGAACATAGTCGTGACAAAAACCACGCGACCTAAAAGGACAACCTACCCGGGCTCAGTCCGTCCTGCACGAGCTTCTCCTCGACCAAGTAGTCCGAACAGAGGAAGCCTACCGATGCCCAGGACAGTATCATTTTTTGAGTTTCGTGGTCCAGTTCGACCCCGAAGTCCTAGATGGCGCCCCTCCAAGAAGTAGGGAAGGGCCACCCTTCGAGATTGCTGACCAAAAAATAATCCCACTTCCAGGCGGGGAATTTCTTCGGGAGCTCATGCAAGAGCTTGTAGACACGATGGGGAGAGAAGTAGTAGAGACGCCTCTCCGGAGGAGCCCCGGGAGTGGCATTCTTTATACAGAGGATGACGGAGAAGATGTCCAGACTCAAGGGAAGACAATATTCCCAACACAAGGATATCGTCCCAACCAAGTTCCGGATAGCATTGGGATGGAGTTGGTCAATAGTGACATTGAAGTGGTTTAGCACCTCCACTATCAAGGGGTGATGGGGAAGATGCAGGCCAGCCTCGAGTTGTTCCTGGTAAATGACTATATCGTTAGGACCATGCTCCCACGGAAAATTACCAGTGGGGATGCAGTAGAAGAGGTCCGTAGGAAGGTGGAAATAGCTAATCAGAGACCTAAGTCTCCCCTCTGTCATGGAGGAAGGGCCGAAAGTATCGGGCTACCTTCCATGTGAAGTGGAAGCTCCTTCACCGGAGACCTCCCTGGCCCCTGGAACTTGCTCCCAAGCTCCCCCCGAGCTTGAGGGAGCATCATCATCCTGGTCACTACCCCGGTGACGAGCATGGTACGGGTAACCCGACATGATTGACAGTAAGTAAGACTCACCGAAAGGGGACAGGACGAAATAAGTTGAGGAACTCAAGTAGACTTGACAGGTGCGCGACCTCAGGATCCGAAGACAGCAAGATGGCGTGAAGGGAAATGAGGCCCAGAAGGCCCTCCTATTTATAACTCCCACGTCCCTGAATTGACGGCCCGGATCAAAGCAGATCCAACGGCTCACAAGCGCACTGACCGCACGCCTTCTGAAAACCGAAGGTGATTGGCGGAACGTCTTCCATGATTAAGGTAATGGCGGCTGCATGACGTCCGGAGTTAAGAGCCACTTCAGCATGTTTTCAGAACCCGAAAAGTCAAAAAAGTCAGAAAATCTCTTGATTCCCGCGAATGCGTTTAATGTGAGTAGTCAATCAAGTTTGAATTTCAGTCAAATCAATCCATCATGCTTCATGAACTCCTCGCGCTAAGGCAATGCTCTCAGCTCAAGGAGTGGGGGGCAATTGATGGAGGACGATTTGTCTCGACCAACGAAACAGCGACACATGGACACTGACTCAGCATAAGCGACAGCTCAGCATTGTGGCCCAGTACAACCAAGTAACGGGCTCGTAAGGCAGATCGCTACATCGTAGCACGCCAAAGAAGGAGCTCGCCACTGCGCGAGCTCCGGGTTCCCCGAGCTACCTCTAAAGGGATATTCCGAGGCAACTTTAGCTCGCGAGCTAAGAAAACCAGCTCACCCGAGCTCCCAAGCAGACAAGTCATCCCGAGGACCAGTTTCTACTAAGGGTACTCCTGAAGTATTCCGAGCTCGCTGCAAAGTAGCTCGCGAATGGGCCGCACGAGCATTCCTCAGGAAGCTTCTATCTGACAGGCCATACCGATCAGGCTACACCACATCCCCTACTGACGACGCAGTCCCTGTCCTTTCGACAGTCCACACCCACGTCTCTCAGCAGGCGGAGGCGTGCCTATCACTTTGGAGACGTGTCACTCACCCGGGCAAGGAGTACGTCACAACGGCCACCTGCGCAGCCCTAGCAGGTAACGGCTGTGGCAGGGGCCTAGTGGCAGTTAGGCGTGATCTGACCAAAATGCCCCTATAAAATCCCTCAGGGCAGAAGAGAAACTTCTTCTGGAGACCTCTAATCTCTCAAGTATAGTGATAAAGCGTGACCTACACTCTTAGCTACCAGATCTTCTTTTCCTTCCTTTCTGCATTCTAACTTAAGCATCGGAGTATTCCCACCGAGCAAAATCCCCGGGAATCCTTCCTTTCCATCTTCTCAGGTGCCATCCGTTGCCAACAAGGAGCCTATCAGTAGCCAGCTAGGAGTGCCCAGATCGTGCTGCATCAGAAATGTTGCTCATTTGCCCATTGCATTTATTACTAAGAAATCTTATCATACAACCAGTGGGATAAATAATTCCTCCCTTGTGTTCTAATAAATTACCACCTGTCGACAACACTAGAGTTTTTTCATAAATTAAAGTGAATTAATGCATCTTTATCTGTTCAAATAAATATGCACCTTGCTCAATTGTTGTGGACAGATGGCACAAAACTATGATGTTTTTAGAAGATCCTTCTCCTCTCATGGTTGTTCATCACCTTCACCATCATCCATGACTCCATGTCGACTGCAAAAATGAAAATTTAAGTGATCATGCTCCCATAATTTTAGTTTTAACCATCACCATCGTCCTCCACCATTTCTCACTCACTTTGGAATACCATAGTGACTATAACTAAAGAGGGTACATTGGAATACCGTAGTGACTAACTGATGAGGGCAGATTTCGCCCTCAATAACTTCGTGACATGTGGCTCCTTAAAATCATGAGATGACAACTTAGCACCACATAGACAAATTTTGGAAGTGCTTTAGACACCTCGCACCCACTTTGACAACCTCAGCCCCACCTCGACAGGCTGAGTTGTGAACGGCCCGACAAGACATTAGATCGGCATAAGAGATGACCTGCTTCCGCCAACCTGACCCGAATTTGATTAGTGACCTACCTTACGTGCTAAGTGACCTCCTTAAGTAGGTTATCATCTCTGAATGCAACTAGATAAGCGTTATCAACTTACGTGGAGTCCACCTCTAAATCAAACGAGCCGGTGATCTCGCACACGCTTCGTGAGTCTCACAACGGCTTGCCTATATAAAGGCATCCCCTTTCACAAAAGAAGTACACACGATTTAGCTCTTAAGCATACTAACTCTCTTGCTTTTTTGCAATCAAATACCAACTCGCTAAATTAAGCATCGAAGTGTCCACCCCAGATAAAGCAAACCGAACACTCTGATTACCTCTCTTGTGTAGCTCGACCAAGCAACCTACTCAATCCGACATCCAAACTATCCACGAACAGGAGCATCAGATCGCACTACATCAGTTACCATGCATATGCTCAGCAGATACAGCAAAAGCTTTGCCACAAGCTTTTGGTTGCAATATTAGGGTCCATTTGGTTCATGAACAGGACCGGAATCGGAATCGGAATCAGAATCCCTAGGAATCGAAATCAGAATCACCTATTCCTGACACCTATTTGGTTCAGTCAGGAATTGGAATCCGATTCCGATTGTTGCTGTTTAGTTTAACTAGAAACTAGAATCAGAATCAACCAAAATTTCCAATTCTACCCCTATTAAAAAAAATCTCAAAACTACCCACTTATTATATATTTTCAACAAACACACATTGACAACCTGCCAACAAGTGCATATATAGAGAAAATATGAAAAAATGAATGATAACCAGAATCTGTGTTGGTAGCTGAGACAATTCAACTCAAAGAAATCATTATACAGTCAAACACTGAGCCATTATACCCTTGCCAACAGCCAAACACTGAGGAGAGCAATTTTATTGATTCCGGCCTGCAGGTTGACCTTTCATGTAAACATAAATCTCATGTTTTCCCTTGTCTCAAGGAAGGGCAGAATGAAAAAGGATCTAATAAATAACAAGGAACATTTCTTTGTGAATCACCGACTCCATGAAATATACCTGAAAGCTGTCCATTGATAAAGGCATTAAAAGCATGCTACTTGACTCCAAAATAAGAGTGGGGCTTTGTCCTCCATGTAAAAATTATTTTAATGAACTAATGTCAATACTACAAAAGCAATACAAATAACTTATAAACCTATAGTACAGAAATTCCGAAACCAACTATTTTCTGTTTCCTTAGAAGGAAGGAAATAGCAAGAACATTTCTTTAAGGTATTATCAAAAAACTGTCTAAATGGCAACACTTGCTATACCAATAAATGTTACACAGAGGAGGGGAATTAGTTAATTAGGAGTAGCATGCAAGAACATTTCTTTAAGGTATTATCAAAAAACTGTCTAAATGGCAACACTTGCTATACCAATAAATGTTACACAGAGGAGGGGAATTAGTTAATTAGGAGTAGCATTTTGATGGCCTTCATCAAGGAATTTTCTAATATACGAGGATGATGTTCAAGTTTGCAATCAAATGATCTTAACCATTGCATGTGTGACTATTCTTTTGGAAGGTCAGAAAGCCAAAAACAAATGGGAGTGGCCCTTTATTCATGTTGTTTTTTGCATTTTGGTGTGGGCCATCTTTAAACTAAACGGACGCATTGATATGGGTCCAATCCATTACATAGACATAGCAGCAACCAAAAAAATATTACAATAAATTAATAAATTATGAAAAAAGGTGTCATCAAAGAGAAAGGAAAAAAAAAAGAAACTAAACAATGCATTTTTTTCATAGACAATACACCATGAAGGCAAGAGATGCAAAGGTCCATCTCTAAACTATATGGACACCATGGAAACAATACACAATATAGGGATGGGCATATGTGTTAATAAGACTAGAAAAAAAAATCTATTCACCATGGAGATATATGGAATAAATTCCTCCCATAATTCCAGGGATTTGTTCCTTGGAGCAAATGCTAATCATCATTGTTCACAGCAACATGGTTGTGAAGAGAGGGATTCCATGTGGCATCTTGTATTTTACTTCAAGAGCCACATAGAGAAGGGAAGGATTCCATGTGGTATCTGTTTTTTTTTTTTTCTTTTTTGTTTTTGCTGGTGAAAGTTATACCGCAGCTAGTAACAATACATTTTCACATTCATTCACTTTCCTGCAATTATTTTGATGTTCTGGGTTTGGCATATTTCTTGCTAAGCCCATCTCAGCACCGTCTTCATGCATGCCACTGGTGAATGCAGCAGTACTTGCTACAAGTAGCACAGATTCAGCTTGTGTAGCTTTGAACAGATCAGCTATGATCCCATCAAGATCTTCATCAAATCTTTATAATATTAGCAAACTAAGTGATCAATTGGCCCTAAAATAACATACAGTAACCGAGAGATTCTTTCTTTATTTTCTTATTCTTTTCTATTCACTCAATCTATAAATGTATTCAAAGGTAATGAAATCGTTTGAACTCTTTTCCACCATTGGATCATTGCTTTCTCATTCACTTTATCTCTCACTATGACCTGAAACTTGACTTAGACTCAACAAATCCAATCACTTATAATCCCTCTTATGGATAACGGTTTGACAAATGAGTAAAATCAAATGTATATGACAAAACTGGTTTTTTTTTATTTCTCTTATCAATTCTATATAAAAACTAGATTAGAACCATTGTTGTAAGGTGACCCTATCAAAACCCAAATACCAAGTACTAATTGTAATTGTAGACCGATATGCTTTTCTATTTTTTGGGTAGTTTGTTGTTGACAATGGGAATAAGATAATTGTTGATGTAGTTGTTGCTACCAACGTTGATGATGAACTAATTAGATGTAGATGTTGTGATGTGAAATCTTTACTGGGTTTAACTATGCAGAAACGTAAAATGTCTAGTAGTTACCTAATTATGTAACTTTAACAAAAAAAAATTACAGAGCAAGTTATGTCTCACCAAAACAAGAGGCGGATTGTAAAACGAACAGAGTAGGGCAAATCTGCAAAATGAATCAGAGCAAGGGCGGATCCAAATCAGAAAAAAGGGGTGGATTTGTAAAACAAACCACCATATTAGAAGGAAGAGGAATAAGAAGAGGGCCAATTGATTTGGAAGGAGGAGGAGAGGAAGAAAGATGAACGGCGGTGGTCTTACCTCGTCGGAGATGAGATTGGCGGCAAAGACAGCAATGGTTAATATGAAGGTTGAAGTTGAAGTGCAGAAGAAGTTCCTCATATGGTCGATTAGGGGTTGAAACGAAGGGGGTGTTTTTTGTAAAAAAATAAATAAATAAAACATAAAGACTGGAATGGGAATCGCATTCCATGGGGAGAGTCGGGAATGGCCATTCCCCAATATGGGGGAATCCCATTCCGCCTAGAATGGGCTCGTCAACCAAAGAATGAGAATCTGAATGGCCCATTCTGATTCCGATTCCAGGCTCCTATTCCCTCGAACCAAACGGACCCTTAATCTATCCACTAGCAAAATGGGAAAAACAACTGTATCTATTAACAATTTTAGGGACATAACCTTGGATAACTAGATCATTTTTTTTCGTAGGATCGCTAGATCTTAACATAATATTGTTCCACAGACTACATTAGTGACCAAGAAAAATAGGATTAATTATATGACAGTCGTAGCAACAGTTAACACCGAAAGAATTACCTCCAGAAACGCAAATGGTCACTCAGGAAGATAATAAAATTACAATTACAGTTGCACCAAACCAATGAAAACATTAGTACTCCCATTTCTTCAATTCCATGCCATCTGGTGGGGTGCTCTCTACTTTCTTGGAACCCACTTCTTTCCAATTTGTAGATAGAACAGTCCCATTTGATTCCACCTGCAACACCATACCAAGAATAAGATGTGGTTTTAATTATTTAATAACGGAGCTTGAGCACCAGTACCCCTACAACCGACAACATGACAGTTTCGAGGAATGCTAAAACAAATAGATTGAACCAGGGATACTGCCATCAAGGATGCACCAGATAAGCAAGGCGGTCCATGGTAACTAACATTCCAGAAGAAAGTCAATCCTTCATGGAGCAGAAAATTGTTATCATTTATGTTCTTGGAACACCAGAAGCCTTCTATTGGAATGTCAACAAAATATGCATCATGGTAGACAGTTAATCCACTAGGAAGCCTCTAACCATCAAATGCATTCCAGGTTACGAAGAATAGCAAGTATTGCACTTGCAAATTGCAATAACAACATTTTATACAGTCCGAGGTAGTAGAAACAAAGAAGAGAAGTAGGTCTTACAAAAGATTTTCTCATGGCCCGCCTTGTGTCCTCATCAGCATCTTGGTATATGTCTCGGAATAGTTTGTTCAAAGCCGCATCTCCATCAAGCTTTTCTTCTTTTTCCTGAGTCAACAAAATAATGTCTCAATTGACCTACTAACCAAGATTCAATTACAAATCCATTATTCCTGGAACATAAACTCTCATATGGACATCATAACACCCCCCGCATAAGTTACAAGTTTACTGACGAACCTCCTCCTTCACTTGGGCTTCCAATTTATCCCAATCAACAGCTTTCACTTTTGATGATGGGTATATAGGCCTTCCAACACCTATAAATTTAAAATATCATGATCCAAATATTAGATAATGGAGGCTCCAATATGAGAAATGGATTAAATTTTCAATAACTGCATTCATATTGAAAAATATATAAGAACTCAGCAACAGGTTTGTGATCCTTAATCTGATAAGCTAATGATAGCTTATAAGAGACTAAAACAGGTAGATAACTTTTTCAAGCCATACTTATGATCGATTTACAGAACCTAACTGAACTAAACGAAGGGAATAATCAAAGGAAAATGCATAACACATTATGCTAGCACTCAAACTAATAAGCTTCATAGCTACCAAAGGTAACATCCATTTCCAGTAAAATGGAAAACCTCCAAAGAAAAAAGGCAAAAACGTAAGGGAGTTCCTCGATGCATCACAATCCAACAGAAAAGGCTGTCCTACTATTACATCTAAAACAGCATTAAATATGAAAACTAGAATACCTACTTGATGACACATTGACCTTCTGTAGAACTGTATTTTCCTTGGTAAATTCCAATGACGTCCAGTTGATTGCCTGAGCTTTTGCGAGGTGGATTTCGATTTTGTTAGACATTACTTCATATCTGCACTTCTCAGGTATTATCTGTTCTTCCATGCAGCCAGGCACCAACACTAAACAATTTAGCAACCGAAAATTACACCCAGAATAAAGTATTGTATAACGAGTCACTAATCAGTGCACTTGATAGGCTGAGAAGAGGAAAAATGACAACATTATACCAGTTTGGGATAATGGGGTTTGACACTAAAGACAGAACAACACTGACAACTTTCTAGAAAATAAGCCAACACCATTACATGTATCATCAATTAGCCATAATTGTTAGAGGAAAATAAAGGAATTCATCTAGAAATTGTACACAGAGTCAATTAACTTTTAACATTAATAAATAAGAACTGCATTATGTTCAGTAACAAAACAATTAGAAAAAAGATATTGTATTAAAGTGGAAGTTCCAAAATCAGAATTACCTTTGCAAACAAGCGAGGCTGAAAATGAAATGCATCTTCCCCAGGCTTAGAAATGGTAATACTTAACTGCATGACAAGAACAAATGACAAAATTTTCAGCCATGTACCTTGTTGACAGTTTAGAGGCCTAAGGTTAAAATCAACAAGTACACCAAAAATGCAACTAAAGCACTAATCCATGGTAAGCATTGATCTGGAGAAACATACTATCTGTTCACCAAAATCAACATCCACATTTTTGGCTGGTGTTCCCTTTGCAAATATGGTCACAACTACTTCTTCTGGCTTTTGGTAGTATTCATGCCTGTGCAAAACCATTCACTTTTAGATCAACCAAAGAGATGCCGACTGAACAATGGAGTGAACCAACCTTGGCAACTAGAAACCATGCAAGATACCATATGTTTCTAATCCCACCTATTATATTTGCATACCTGTACTTTGGTTTGGCTGGTGCGATCACTGCTGGTTCATGGGAATTATCCTGTTTTGGTGTAACACCTTTTACTGTTTCTGCAGATACGACAGGAGAAGCACTTTGCGACACACTTTGTGTTGATTGTTTTGGTAGAAGACCAGTCTCCTCTGAAAAAACATACCAAAGGCCCATCAAAGATAGGTCAGATGATACACGAGGATGTCATCATGAAAAGTCTGAACTAAAAATGCATTTTCCTCGATATATTTCTGAAAACCTATAGTAGGTTAGGATTAAGAACATACAATGTCAACAGCTCCATGATAATCATATAAAAAATGTGAAGGTCCAGCTATTAAACTTGGAGAGTTTGGGTCTACCCCAGCTCTTGTGCTTCTGTTTTTGAGGGCACCTTTCATCTCCTTTCATTTAATATAGTTCCACCTTTAAAAAAAAATTACAGGGCTGTAGGCTTGTATATTTTCTGTTTCTCCGTAAATTTTGTACTTCATCTTTTACTCATTAATAAAGTTAATTGATAATATTGATAAAAAAATAAAGTTAATTGATAACTGTCAGGGAAAAAAGTGCACATTGGCAGTACAACACTTCACTAAAAAGCCCCACCCCGAGAGGATGATGATTTTAGGAGTTGATATTAAACAATCATAATACAAAAGAGGATGTTACTTTTCTGTATATTTTTCCCCATCTTGCATGTCACTTTTCTGTGTCTAGTCTGACCCTTCAGTTCTTTACAGCACTTCACTAAAAAGCCCCACCCCGAGAGGATGATGATTTTAGGAGTTGATATTAAACAATCATAATACAAAAGAGGATGTTACTCTTCTGTATATTTTTCCCCATCTTGCATGTCACTTTTCTGTTTCTAGTCTGACCCTTGAGTTCTTTAGTTAGCGCCTTGTGTTTTTTAACATACTTTTTGCAACAGCAGGGAAATAGAGTCACAAGATTACAACTCTATGCATCAGAAATTGATTTTATATTCATAATTAATGGTGCTTTATGCCTCCAAATATTTCCTAAGATAGATGATATTATGCCACCATGCACAGTAACTTCAATAAGCATATCTGGAAAGCCTTACAACCTGGAATCCTTTTGACAATCACCAATGAAAGATATCTGCAATTTGAACTACAATAGAATATCAAAGATTGAGAGATTGAGAGAGAGAGAGAGAGAGTGAGACTCAGCTATAAAATAAGCTCATGGTTAACAGCTACACTAAACATAGGCTTTATACTCTGTTTCAAGCATGTACATACCTGCAATAAGCTCATCACATTCCTTGATCAAATTGGTAAATCTTGAATCTCCTGGTGACAAAGCAATACCTGCTTCAAGGGCTGCCTTTGCAGTCTGGTATTCCTCAAGTCTAATACATGCAGTACTGCAGACAAGAAAAATGATAGAGAACAAACATCAACGAATCAGATTATGTGAAATAAGCAAGCGGAGAATGGCATCTTAAAATAAGTACAAATTATAATATTCTTCTAACATATTCTTGACATATCATAATGCCACTCTATGATCCCAAGCATTAACTGGTCTCCCACAGGAAACAAATTCCAGATGGGATATAAAAAATAGATACAAATTGAAACACTTGCAATCCATGTAAAGTGTATATGCTTTCATATAAAAACATCGTTTTTTGTTAAGTATTAATGGTTCGGTTAGTACGGTTTCCGTTCTGGGTCAGAAATAAGAGAGAAAGAATAAAGAAGGAGAAGAAAATAGAGAGAAACGGCTGAAGAGAAAATCACTCTCTCCCAGCCGACCACCTTCTTATTTATAGGTTTTGAACTTTAATGTACAAAGACTCTTATGTCCCTAATTATGGGATACAATAGCTTAAGCTGAGATAAAAGAGACAAAGCAACTATTAATAACAAAACATAAAGACTAAATACCCTCTTGACTACCAACTCTAACACTGCTCCTCAAGCTGGTGAGTATATATCATATAATCCCAATTTGTCACATATGTAATTCACTCCTCCCCGACTCAACACTTTTGTAAACAAATCTGCCCACTGATTTCCTCGATTCACATATATCATGCTTATCACTCCACCAAGCACCTTTTCTCTTACAAAGTAGCAATCAACCTCTATGGGCTTTGTTCTCTCATTGAAAGCTGAATTAGATGAGATGTGGACTGCAGCTTGGTTGTCGTGGTATTTCATAAGGTTGTCAACTAAGTACCCCATCTCTCACAAGAGATTCTTCAACCGCATTAGCTCACATGCAATGTGTGTCATGGCTCTATATTCAATTTCAACACTATTCTTTGCTACTACAGTTTGCTTCTTGCTCTTCCATATCACCAGATTCCCTCCAAGAAAGGTACAATACCTTGTAGTGGATCTTTTGTAAGATATTGAGCCAGCTCAACCAGCATTTATGTAACCTTTTATTTCAAGACTCCCTCCGGTCTTATGTAACAAAATAACAACAAATCACGACCTGTAGCTCCCTTTAAACATTGCAAAATCCGAGGATTTTGCATAAACTGGTTTACCATACTAACCGCAAATGATATATCTAGTCAAGTAATGGTCAAGTAGTTTAACTTACCCACTAGCCTTTTGTACCTCCCAAGATCTTCAAACTCTTCACCTACATTATTACTTAATTTGACATTTGGCTCCATCAGTGTTTTAGCTGGTTTGGCACCCAATAGTCCTACCTCCAAAAGCAAGTCAAGAACATACGTTCTTTGGCACAGGTTAATACCATGCTTCAGCCTTGCAGCTTTTGTTCCCAAAAAATACTTTAGCTTACCAAGATCTTTTGTTTAGAACTGATCATGCATAAATGCCTTAAATATGTCAATCCCCATATTATTACTATCAATTATAACAATATCATATGCATATACCACTAATAAAATCTTCCCAAAAAATACTTTAACTTACCAAGATCTTTTGTTTAGAATAAATGCATTCAATACGTCAATCCCCATATTATTACTACCAATTATAATAATATCATCAACATATACAACCAACAAAATCTTCCTAGCTTCAGTCTCATAGTTGAATTCTAAGTGGTCAACTTGGCACTGCTTCAAACTAAAGTCTTTCACCATTTCACTAAATATGCCAAACCAAGCACGCAAAGATTATTTCAGCCCATAGATTGCCTTCTTGAGTCTATACACGTTACCATCCCCCCCCACCCTAAGCAACAAACCCCGGTGGTTGCTCCTATTACACAGTTTTGTATGCCCTTAGCTACAATCCGATTTGATGTACTTTTGACATTTAGTGTAAATAAATAAAGTGCATGTTTAATTCATGTTGTTTGGTATGACACTATGTAAGACCCTAAAACTGGACACTTATAGAGACTCGTGTTAGTTTTAAATGTTCACAGCC